CGATTAAATAATTTAGCGAAAACAGGCACTAGTAAATTGCACAAGTTTCTTCACGACGAGCAGATACGAACGTAACCATCGCCAGACTGTCACTGGGAACGAGATTTTTCTTCAACTGAAAATGCCAGTAAAAATGGAAAGATAAAGCATGTTAAACAAATTTTATTTAAGTTTAAGAAGAAACTATTTAATTAATACCAAAAATTACTAGAAAATAGTGGTACGAAAAAAAGACTCAAGAACGACAAGCGCGAATAAAGATGTCGTGAAAATGAAAGGTATAAATTCAGAGTAAATTAAAATGTAAAAAAATATAAATTGTTTCATGATAACTCTAATTAGGAAATGTTTTCGCTTTCGGACGTATCACTGCTATAAATTAGCAGGATAATACAGAGGATTAATTACACGAGTGAATTTAACGCGCGTGAATAATCACGAAACAGTGGATCTAACCGCTCAAAAATTAAAATGGGTAATTAGAAAAATACACACGAACCCGTACATGAACCGGTTTACTCATGAATGCACATGAACCGGTTTACTCATGAATGCACATGAACCGGTTTACACATGAACCGGTTTACGCATGAACCGGTTTACACATAAACTGGTTTACACATGAACCGGTTTACACATGAACCGGTTTACACATGAACCGGTTAACACATGAACCGGTTTACACATAAACTGGTTTACACATGAACCTGTTAACACATGAACCGGTTTATACATGAACCGGATTACACATGAACCGGATTACACATGAATCGGTTTACACATGAACCGGTTTACACATAAACTGGTTTACACATGAACCGGTTTATACATGAACCGGTTTACACATGAACCGGTTTAAACATGAACCGGTTTAGCCATGAACCGGTTTACACATGAACCGGTTTTGCCATGAACCGGTTTACACATGAACCGGTTTAAACATGAATCGATTTACACATGAACCGGTTTATACATGAACCTGTTTATACATGAACTGGTTTACACATGAACCGGTTTATACATGAACCGGTTTACACATGAACTGGTTTACACATGAACCGGTTTATACATGAACCTGCTTATACATGAACCGGTTTATACAAGAACCGGTTTACTCATGAACCGGTTTATACATGAACCGGTTTACACATGAAACGAATTACTCATGAAAACACATGAACCGGTTTACACATGAACCAGTTTACACATGAACCGTTTTTTAAAATGGCCTACCATGAATGATATACTAGATCACTCCAGTATCGCGTATCTAACTCGAGATGAAGCTTGTTTACTTCAAGGAAATTCAACCTAAACATTAATTCGAGAAAGTAACTTTAATGAATGAACTCTTTTACAGCGCTGAACTTCAAACCCCTTGCCGTGCTCTAATCCTCTAGGAATTTGTTCTCTAGGAATTTGTTCTCTTGGAATTTGTTCTCTTGGAATTTGTTCACTAGGAATTTGTTCTCTTGGAATTTGTTCACTAGGAATTTGTTCTCTTGGAATTTATTCTCTTGGAATTTGTTCTCTTGGAATTTGTTCTCTAGGAATTTGTTCTCTAGGAATTTGTTCACTAGGAATTTGTTCTCTAGGAATTTGTTCTCTAGGAATTTTCATAGATAAAGTATAGTGATGGCGGTAGTGTGTATAGTGTAGGTGATGTTGTAGGTATGGTGTCATATTTGTGGTGTTATGTGGTCATTATTTGCAGTAAATATGGTGAATGTGTACTAAATATGGTGAATGCTTACTAAATATGGTGAATGCATACTAAAGATGGTGACTGCATGCTAAATATGGTGAATGCATATTAAATATGGTGAATGCTTACTAAATATGGTGAATGCTTACTAAAGATGGTGAATGCGAACTAAAGATAATGAATGAATACTAAAGATGGTGAATTCATACTAAATATGGTGACTGCATACTGAAGATGGTGAATGCGTATTAAGCGTATTAAATATGGTGAAAGTTCAGTGTCCGGAATGATGTATCGAGAATAGTGACCGCGGTGACAATTCATGTGAATTTACAATTAAAACTCAATATTTTCATCTGTCATTTTACAAACTTAAACAATTGAAAATAACTGCTGCGTTTTTTAAAGTTTATTTTATGAATAATTGTTACTACCTTGATCATTAGTGGTGCGGCTTGTCACTTAGTGGAAAAAGAAAACAAAAGTAACTATTAAAAGTAATACTTAATTACAGTATTAAGTAATACTGTAATTATTAATGCAAATACTAACTTAATAAGTAACAGCGGTAACTAGTGACGCAAGTAACAACCAAGGAAGTAACAGCGGTAACTAGTGGCGCAAGTAACAACCAAGGAAGTAACAGCGGTAACTAGTGGCGCAAGTAACAACCAAGGAAGTAACAGCTGTAACTAGTGACGCAAGTAACAAC